TACTGTACTTTTCTATTCTCTGGAAAATCTAACACGTTGGTGCAATTTTACCAGAAATTTACATCTTCAAATTGATCAAAATTCATTCAAATATGCTTCTGAAAATAAATAGACTTCCAAACATCATTTACTATTCATTCTAGCCCGGCCTGCTGCAGCTGTAATCCGGCCGGCCTGAAGCCCGCTCGGCCCGAAGGCCTGCCCGCGCGTGCGGCCCAGCAGCAGCAGCAGCGCGTGGCGCTCGCCGCGCCTCTCTCGCGCTCTCCCCCGCGCCCCAGGCCGCAACCTGGGCCTAGGCCGGGAATTCGGCCACGCGCCCTCGCCCACCTGGGCCACGACGCTGGCCCAATCAACTAGCGCCGTTGGATCCAATCGAACGGCTGCGCGGCGTCTTCGGGCGAATGAAAAATGTCGACGCCGGCTTCCATCCGAAAACCCTAAGTCATTTTCTCTTCTGCTCTCTCTCTCTCTTCGCCGGTCTACGCTCTCTCTTCTTTCCTCAGTGCCGCCGCAGCAGTCACCGAGCGAGCGAGTGGGCGAAACAATGGAGCAGCGAGCCCCGGCGCCGGCGTGCGCGTTCCCCAGCGGGTGAGCGCGCTGCCGTCGAGCGGCCTAGCCGCAGTGCCCCTGTGGCCGGATCCTGGCGAGCAGTGCCCCCGGCCGGCCCTTTCTTCCCCCCCCCCGCCGCGCGCGTCGGCGTGCACGACGGCGAGGTAAGCCATCCCTTTCCCCTTCTGCGTTTTTGCTTGTTTGGATTTGGGGATGGGGATTGGATCTAGGGTTAGGGATTCACTTTGTTCTTCTTTCCTTAACCCAGTTAGGGTTAGAGTTCAGAAAACCTTCTTTCTTTGTCTAGATCCGAACGGATCTAAACCGTTCTTATCTTTTCTGTTCTTTTTATTCTCTTCCCACGCGTCAGCAAGCCGGCGACGGGTGCTCCATCCCGCGTGAGGCGGTAGTGACGGTGGCGGGGAAGCCCTGGTAAGACTTCCCCCGGACCGTCCAATTTCTTTAGGGTTAGGGTTCTTTAGGGTAATCCGAATTGAATTCGAATCCCTTTCTTTTTCTTTCTATCACCCGATTAGGGTTTGGGGTTCGATGAACCCTCTGTATCTCCTTTTTTTCCGATCCGAACCGGATCTAACTCATCTCCTTTTACACTGCTACCCCTAACACAATCCACACACTAGATCGATGGCTCTGATACCATTGTTAACTTTTTGGATCGACTAGGAGTAGATCAGTGGGTATTTTGACTTCCATTCGAACACATAGATCCAGAGTTTGCTTCGGGAGTAGGAGACTGAGAGAGAGGGAGATGTAGGAGCATCTGACCGTCGGAGGAGCTCCCTGCCTTCGCTGGTTCGCCGGTGATGATTTGCGCTAGGGCAGCGACGTTTGGTGTAGCTGTGGAGACTGGCGGTGGTGGAGGCAGTGGCGCTTCCCGCCGCTGGCAGTGCCACCCTCTGGATCGGATTAGGGTTAGGATAGTGGGGCTGTGGTGGCGGTGAACCTCGTTCACTGAACCGTTTGCCCCACCTCCTCTTTATAGTCACTGTGCGACGGGGGCCCACCAGTCAGTAGATGGCTGGACATCACCGATCAGGACGCGGTCAAGGGGTCCGTCTCGACCGTTGGGTCAAGACGGATGAGATCAATTCTAACATCAACATCCGGCGGCACCAACACGGAGACTAAGGGCGGCATGGTTGAGTTGCCCAGCGCGCGCGGAGGCTGAGACGGTCAGGCAGATCTCTCCTCCCTCTCCCTCACCGACGGTGCTGGAGGGCGGATCTCGTCTCCTCGCCCCTCACCGACGGCGCCCAGGACGGATCTCGCATCCCTCTACCTCACCGACGGCGTCAGGGGCTGATCCCGCCTCCCTCTCCCTCAACAACGGCATCGAGGGCGGATCCCACCTCCCTCTCCCTCACCGATGGTGTCGAGAGCGAATCTCGCTTCCATCTCCCGCACCGACCATGGTCAGGGCGGATCTCGCCTCCTCCCTCTACCTCACCGATGGCGTCGAGGGTGCCGCAGGAGAGACACGCGAGCACGCCGCTGTTCACGGGAGGCACTACTGTGGAGGCCTAAAGCAGCACGGGCACGCTGGAGACCGAGGCTGAAGCTGACATGGCATAAGGCGATGCTGATGATTTCAATTATCTGCTCGGCAGCGACGAGCTCGGCAACGGCGCAGAGCGCAGCGGCAACGGAGGGCTGCTCCAGGCTGTTTGTCTGAGCTTTTCGTGGGTTTACTTTCTTTAACAGTACTGTGACAGCGCCTTTGCGTTTTCCTTTTTGGTGTGCAGATGGTTGCAGTGAAGCAGCTCGGTCAAGATGAGAGCCTGCTGGTGTAAGATTACATGCCGTTCGGAAGCCTGCAAAGCCATTTGCTTAGTAATTTATTCTTCAACTTCCTGTTGTTCTTGTTTGGTGTAGTAGCTAATTGGTGCACTGCAGTGTACTTCTGGAGTCGATGAATGTCAAGAGCCTGTCCATTTTCTTTTTTGCATATTACAGACGTCAATGCCTGCTTTTTTTCCTTTGATTTATGATGATAGTTATCTGCTTTTGATTCCTAGTTATGCATTAGATAGATACTTGCTCTAGTGTTTAAGGCGAAATGACAGATAGATCTTGACAACCTGACCCCTTTTCATGTCTGGTGATACCTATGTATTTCTCATTAGTTTCAAAATTTAATAAGTTTGTGTTTCTATGCTATAGTAAACATTACAGAACTTGTCTTTGATACATTGTGTAAAAAAACCCACTCTAACTGGAGATAGGCGTGTATTTCTCATCTCTATACTGTTATCTATACATATGAGATTTTTCTGATTGAATTGGCCCCACATTATATAGTCTGATAGCACGTAATAATGGAATTTTGTTGGAGTTCACTTAGCCACAGGTACTGTTTACTGTTTCATGTTTCCCTTATTTCAGTTCAGAATAAGTTGCTGTAAAATATATAGAGTAGAGCTGATGGGTAATGGTGTCTTGTGAGAGTGGGTATTTCATGTCTTGGATACATTTGTAACTGTATGTACGTTTGTACTTTGTGATGACTTGGCTTTTGGCAGTGAATGTTACATGTACCATGATAGTCTAAGTATGTTTTCTAGCGATCTGCTTATTAAAATCTTTGTGAGACATGTGCTAACCTCTTATTTCTAACTTGCGTGTGCAGGTAATAACACCATAAAGGTTGTCAGATTTGGTAAAGTCTAGTTTTTTGTTTGACTTTGGTGAGCGTTTGAATAGTATGGACCTAGGATGTGAGACTTCGGTTGTATTTAAGATGTGCATCTTTTGCCGCTGCTACTGGTTGCATTTTGTCGCTGCTGGTGCTTGCATTTTGTCCCTGCTGCTGCTTGCATTTTATTGCCGCTGCTGCTGCTGCATGCATGCATTTTGCCACTGCGGCATGGATTAAGATGTTGGAGTTGTATGTATTTTCAGAATCTCTATTTGTTGTAAACTGCAATGTTGAATGGGATGTTGGATGAAAACTTATGTAATCTGACGTTGGATGAAAGTTTTTGTGATACGTTGGATGGAAACATAAGATTATTTATTTGATGTGCTGCTACAATTATTATGTTTATGGGCTATGTATATGGGATATACATGGGCTGTATGTGTGAAAATGGGCTGTGTATATGGGCCGCATGTGCTGTAGTAGTGGGCTGAAAGGTGTGCTAAACATTGATGGCTATAACTGGACTGCCAAAATGGCTGAAACTGGGCTGCCAAAATGGCTGAAAAAGAGCTGCGAAAATGGTTAAAATTGGGCCAAAAATTAACCCATCTTAGATTTTGGCCTGTTAATAAATGGGCTGAGGTAGTGTCTCGTCATCGTCCATGTAAGCATCCATGATGATGTGGTGGTTCATCCGTGACGTTTATTTTTCGTCATGGGAAATTGACTTGGGCTGGGCTAACTAGGCCTCGGGCTCTACGGTGACGATTTAAGATTGTCACCGGTTATGTTAATCTGTGATGATTTTCGACAAAGCGTCACGGAGGTTAATCCATGATGCTCAATCCATGATGATATCTGAAATCATCACAAAAGCTGCTTGGTGAAGTTTTTTTTGTTGATCCGTGACGAAAAATTTTATATCATTTTACAATAAATATTTTTATAAAAATAAGAAGTCAAAGTTATGTCTCGTGTCGCTGTCCAAAATGGTTTCTTTTACCAACCTGGAGTAACAATTATTATATATGCCGGGAGAGGTTCAGTAAATTAGACAACTTCCTCGCTTGTAGGAATTCATTCATCTAGACCCCTAGGTAGTTAGTAGTTTTCGGCAAAGCTCTTGCCAACTTTCTTAAAAAAATTATATTTGTCATGACGTTGACGTATTCTTCAGAGCTCACCCTCTTCATGATGTTTGGATCACTATCACTTTCTATGACACACACCTTGGTCCCACTTTTTCTTTCACATCAGCCTTGGACAGTGCCGCTTGGTGGCTTCTTCAACCAAAGATTTTACGCCATTGATATAGTGTCTTACATCCACCGTCATCAGTGCATCTGCAAATTTTGTATATAAAAGAATGGCATCGATCTATTGGAGCAAATTACACCCATAAATATTTTTTTCTGGTTTTTTGGACAGTAGTTAGTAAACTAGTAAAATTTGTAGTTATCACGTAAAATGTACGTTTTTGTCATAGCTGTTTTACGTATTACGGTAGCGTTCTCAATTGGAACAAATCTTGATTACAAAGTTTGAGGTTTGGCTAATTCTTAATGGATAACTCCATACTTGACCCACCGCTACAAATTTGTAATGTTCGATCACCATCCGTCATGACGCGCCTGCCTATATTAATCAGAGCTAGCTGGCGTTCTAGGGCAAAGCAAGGCCTCAAGTGGAGTGGAGTACTGCAGGGCGGTGAGCGCGGCCGGCGAGGATCGGAGTGCGTGGGAAGGACGACGCAGCCTCGCTCGAAGTCGGCACGACTTTAGGTACGGTAGCCATGGCGGCCACGTCACCGTTGCCGCGGTGGGCGCCGACGCCGGGCCGGGCGCGGCTGCTATGGTGGCGCTGGGGCGGCAGCACGGCCGACGCCGCTGATCATCCGCCTGCTGGCGGCCAAGGTCGGTGGTGGTCGCTCGGTGCGGCGAAGACGCCGCTCATCATGAGCCTGCTGGCGGCCGAGGTCGGTGGTGGTCGCTCGGGAGCGGCATCGGCATCTTCGCGTGGGCTACTGCTGCCGGCGGCCGGCGCCAGCGAGGCGCGCCGTCGTCAAACGGAACAGCCGGCGGCGGCGTCCCCGGATCGGAGTGCGAGCTGGTAGCTCCACCTGCTGACGCCGGCGACCCCAGGGCGTTCCTGACGTGGGAGGACGTGCACGTCACGGTGGCCGGCGGCGGCCTGCGCGGGCGCCTGACGTGAAGATCCTGGACGGGATCAGCGGGCACGCGCGCCCCGGGGAGGTGCTGGCCATCATCGGCCCGTCCGGGGGCGGCAAGACGACGCTGCTCGACACCCTCGCAGGTGCGTCCGTGTTTCGTCACCTCATCGGTCTCTACCCCGTACGTCTATATGCTATATACTTACAGTCTACGATGACATACACAGACCGCCCAAAAACAAGCAACACCAATCGTACATACGCACTATTGTGTACTGCTATAGATGGCCGAAGGGCACGAGGCCCACGAGCACGGCACGGCTCGATGACTATGATGCCTGTGCCGATCTGGCCCGACGAGAGGGCCTGGCCTGCTCCCTCAGCACAGCGTGCCGGCTCGGCACGCCGGATTAATGCAGGCCGGCTAAAGGCCCATTCCACCCATCGCTTCGCATATATAAAGAAAGGAAACCCTAACTTTTCTGGACTCTTGGCCAACGCTCGGCCAGCACAGTACGGCCTGAGACTTATAGTGTCGTGTCTGGGCCGTATGCAACACATGGGTGGGCATGTCCCGAACTGATGAGGCAGCCATGCCATGCCGGCCCGACCCCCATTTGGTGAATTTGGGACAAATCTACCATTTTGGTGGGGCAGATCCATAGTGGAGTTACTAGATCCAAAAGCATTTGGCTAAAAAAAATTGGATCCAGACTGGGTTGGTGAATCTGGAGCTGGTGAAGATCTATCAAACAGGACCTTAGTTTTAATTTGATTTGATGATCGGAACAGTCCTTCTAATTTGCTGTTTCATTTTTATTTTTATTATATTATATTATTTCATTCAAAGGAAACATAATCGTGCATGGCGGGGTATTCGTGTTGGCAACAGAGGAATCCCTTTTTTCATTATTTATATTGTTCAACGCCTCATCAAAAATAATATTGGCATTGCACCATATCAATAAAAATGCAAGGCACTGCAAACTTTGGATTTTGGTTACTGTGTGTAACCCACCTTGGACATTATTACCGTTTCCCTGCAGGAAGGTTAGGATCAGACATGAATAAAACAGGGCTGATTTTAATCAATGGCCGGCAGGAGAAGCTTGCCTATGGAACCTCGGTAAGACAAAAGAAAAAAAAACAGCTCTTTTCTTCCCTTCATCCCTAAGTAATAAATTAATTTTTAGAGCATTCTTAAGTTATTTTTTTAAAAAAAAGGTTAACTGAATTTATAGAAGAGAGCATCAAGATTTATGATACCAAGTTAGTATCGTTACATACACCATAAATATAAACTGTATTTTCATAATAAGCCCATTATTTGGTGTCACAAATATTTATACTTTTTTCTATAAATTTAGTCAAATATAAAAAAATTAACTTAGTACAACTATAGGAATTAGTTTATTCAGAAATGGAGGGAGTGTGATATAATTATGAATGGTTGGTGCAAGACTTTTGCACAAGCTGGAACAAGTTTTCCTTTCTCTAAAAAAAGTTTTTCTATAAATACAGGTTGCAATCTTTTTGCGTAACGTTGGTGTCGGTGTGTGTAAGGCCATCCTGAATGACAATTTGCAAATAGCTCGTTAGATGAGGCGTAGAAATAATAAAAAAAAAACACTGCAGTGGAGAGTTACGTGAGATGTGAGAGAGTTGTTTATGAAAGATCATGTTAAACTAGCTATTTTGAAATTGTTAGCTATTTGATCTCTCTTCTTGATAGCCAATAAATTTTTTCATAGACTAGCTATTCTGAGAATTGGAGACGCCCTAAATCCGGACTTACAACTTTTTTAATGTATACGACAAAGGCATACGTGACCCAAGACAACGTGCTGATGTCGACGCTGTCCGTGCGCGAGGCCGTGTACTACTCGGCGCAGATGCAGCTGCCGGACACGATGCCGTTGCCGGAGAAGCGGTCGCACGCGGAGCGGGTGATCCGGGAGATGGGGCTCGCCGACGCCATGGACACGCGCATCGGCGGCCGGATCACCAAGGGCATCAGCGGCGGGCAGCGGAAGCGGCTCAGCATCTGCATCGAGATACTCACGCGGCCGCGCCTGCTCTTCCTCGACGAGCCCACCAGCGGCATCGACAGCGCCGCCTCCTACCACGTCATGAGCCACATCGCGCGCGTCGCCGCCCGCGACGGCATGACGGTCGTCGCCGCCGTGCACCAGCCCAGCGGCGACGTCTTCGAGCTCTTCCACGGCCTCTGCCTGCTCGCCACCGGGAAGGCGATCTTCTTTGGAACCATCTCTGATGCCACCGAGGTGACGACCTTACTTCGACGTCTTAGCCGAAGGGATTGTTAGGTGCTGCCTGCTGACTTGTGCTAGCTCGTTCCTTGCATGCATGCAGTTCTTCACTCTGAACGGCTTTCCATGTCCACACCTGAGAAGCCCGTCAGATCACTTCCTGAGAACAATCAACAAAGACTTTGATGAGGTATATATACGCACTCGATCCTATGAATTGTTACAAATTCAGTGCAACTTCACTTTTCATTTATCTAATTAATATCATCATATATCCTATATAGGAAACTGTGGACAGTTCTAAAGCTAACAGGAAAACAGCAGCTGAAGCAATAGACATCCTTGCGACTGCATACAGATCCTCCATTTATTTTGAAAAACGACAGACCACATTGTTGAAATGAAAAACATGGTAAGTTGAATACCAGTAAGGTCGCCGTATTATCCATTTTTTTAATAAGAGAACAAAGTTCTAGCCTCTGCCACCCCACCCGCATATGGTATATACACAGCCGTATTATCCAATATCAACTAAAAAAACGTACTGCAGCGCGCGATTGAAGACCAATATATAAGGAATGTAATCCACCGATCTAAGGATATGTTTTGATTAACATTGGAAATTAGTACTACTCTCTATTGCTCTCTAATACGTCCTATATTCTTGTAGGAGGGCGCTTCATTTAGGAGGAGAGAACAAGCAAGTTTTACCACAAAGCTCCTTGTGCTCACAAGGAGATCGTTGTTGAATATGCTCAGGGACATAGGATATTACTGGATGCGTTTGGCCGTCTATATGGGCACTGGCGCATGTCTTGGCACTATCTTCTACCAAGTTGGCTATAGCTACAGCTACACTTCTATCCAGGTAAACTGATTAAGGTAGGGCTATATAGAAATAGTCATTTTACTCTATCTGAAAAAGTGATAATGTCTTGGATTTTGCAGGATCGATGTGAAGTAATAATGTATACAACAGCACTTTTAACTTTTATGGCCATTGGAGGATTTCCGTCTTTCGTAGAGGACGTTAAGGTTAATTCTTCACTCACCCAAAAGTGAAAAGCTAGTGGCTTTCTTGTTCAAGAAAATTTTATTCAAAATTATCGTCAGGCAGTTGGAAGATATTTTTACTCAAAATTATAAGAAATTCTAGCAAGGTGACTCAATCAGGTCTCAGAATAAACATGACAAAGTTAGTTGGAAGATATTTTTACTCAAAATTATAAGAAATTCTAGCAAGTCGACCAATCATGTATAAACTAGTGCGGTCTACTTTCCAATATGAAATGCTATATATTTGCCCTTTATATATATACCAATTAGTTACAGTGCAAAGTAGGTTCTGTTTTTTTATTGCCACATTGGTTATTGTTAATACCTCAAGTCTGCGCACATTTTTAATACCACCATTTTCACCCTTGGGTCAGGTCTTCAGAAAGGAGAGGCTGAGTGGCCACTACGGCGTCTCAGAATTTGTGATCTCAAACACCCTCTCAGCTACTCCATACCTGTCATTGCTGTATTACCCAAGCAATGTTATACTACCTTACTGGACTAACAAAAGGCATAGATCACTTCACCTATTTCGTCATTGTCCTTGGCATATGTTCCATTCTAGTGGAGAGCATTATGATGATTATCGCTGCTATTGTTCCGGACTTCCTAATGGGAATCATCATTGGAGCTGGAGTTCAAGGGGTGATGATGCTCAATGGCGGCTTCTTCCGCCTTCCAAGTGAGCTCCCAAAGCCAGTATGGAAGTATCCCTGCTACTACATCTCCTTCCACAAGTATGCGGTGCAAGGATTATACAAGAATGAGTTCATGGGACTGTCGTTCCCAAGTGATCAGCTCATTGAGTCTAATGTCACCATCAGTGGCATTCAAGTCCTCAAGTATAAGTTGGAGGTGGAGATGGGGTACTCGAAATGGGTAAACCTTGCTATCCTTTGTGGAATGACGGTGATATACAGGATGATATTCTTCATCATCGTCAAGATTACTGAGGAAATTCGACAAAAAATGGGAGGCAAACGAGGATGTGTTAGATTTTCTAGATAAACGGTATAAAATCCAGCCTTTATATCCGCTTGGGATATACATAGTCAAAAGTTACATGAGCTCTTAGGATCAAAGACTCAAAATAGAGAGGCAAAAACAACAAGAAAGAGAGCTTAAGGATTAAAAAAAGCTACAAAGACTAAGTTTCAGAGCTTCTTCATTGTCCTTGCTTTCAACCTGTCTTGATCTTGTGTAGAAGCAACTCTCCACCTCTTACGTCTACAAGACGCTTCATCCATCTAGCAAAGATAGCACGCATCGTAGGAGCAACTCTCCCCCATCTGAGACGTTCGCTAGCGTCTAAGACCACTTGGACCTCATGCCCATCTAGGAGGTAGGGATGTGGGAGAAGCCACCACGCTGAGTCCCATCAGCGGAGTGCAGAATGCAGCGTGCTGATGGAGAAGGTGTAGAACGGCAGGGAGCATGACGACGCCTCCAGCGAGGGAATGGCGCCCGTAGGTGTCACTGTCATATGGCGCCGATAGCCTGCCACGGCCTTCTCAGCGGAGGAGATGCAGTGGGCTGATGGAGAAGGAGTCCACCACCAATGGCGTGCAACCCACTGTCGCCTTCTCAGCTCCGATATCTGGTCACCGGCCATGCTGATCCGCATGGAACATGACAACACCTCCAGCGAGGGAATGGCACCTGTAGGCGTCACCGTCGTCTGGCACAGATAACCTGCCACGACCTTCTCAGCGGAGGAGATGCAGTGGGCCGATGGTGCAAAACGACGCCTCCAGCGTGGGAGTGGTGTCCACAAGCGTCACCTTGTCCACCACCAATAGAGTGCAACCCACCTCGGCCTTCTCAGCGTCGATATCTGGCCACCGGCCACGCCGATCCGGCCGTCACCTCGCAAATCCAGTCATCGGGCACGCCGTTTTGGCAATCCAAATATTTGTATATGTCAGAAATTAGTGCATGTAAGCATCTGCAACTGCAAGTATATGGGACGCCTAGCCACCGACCCGGGTGGCTAGAAGTCGTCCACAGACCCCTCCTCCCCCTAGGAAAAATAATGTCTGGCTCATGTGCTTAACTAAATTAGGCCCAATCCAGTTTTTTGTTGGGCCTTGAGGACACAGAGTACAAGCATGCATGTGAAACAAAATTTGCTGACATCATCAATGTGCATATTGTTTGAAAGTTAAAAAAGTTATATTTCCTAAACAGAGTTTCAAAGTTAAATTTCGATTGCGCCACTATGTTCCTTACTATAAATCTTTCAAATCAAGATCCCACTTGGGTATATTTAAAAAAAACTATTCACATGTATACTACCAAATATCATAATACGTCGTAGAACATCATATTAACACTACATGAACATCACGAAATATAGCATAAAACATTATATGTATACTACATGAACATCAGATATATCATGAAAATGTAAAGAATAAAAAAGTAAAAAATAAAATTAGTGAAGTAATTAATTATAGTCAAATAAAAAGAAGAAAAATGCTACCGAACATCAGAAAATATATCTAGAAGATCAATGTATACTACCGAACATCACAAATACATCATAGAACCTTACATTAACACTACAGGAACATCACAAAATATAGCGTAGAACAACATATGTATGCATCACATATATCATGAAATGTAAAATAAAAAAATAAAATTAGTGAAATAATTAATTAGAGTCAAATAAAAAGAAGAAAAATGCTACCAACATCACAAAAATATCCTCCGGAACATCATACTTACTTAACATCATAAATACATCGTAGAACATCACATTTTGCGCCGCATGAACATCACAAAATATAGCATAGAACATCACATGTATACTACGTGAACATCACACATATCATGAAATGTAAAAAATAAAATTAGTGAAGTAATTAATTAGAGTCAAATAACACGGAAGAAAAGATGCAAAATAAAAACATGAATAACAAATGCTAAATATATAGAAAAAATGAATAATTTAAATAAGGAAAGAAAAAAAATTAACGAAAATCAAATGAGAAAACATGACATGTATCCAATCTAATATATAAAATAAAAACCATAAAAAATTAAAAGTAAGTCATGAAAATGATTAAAATAAAAATTAGAGATAAATAAAAATAGAAAATAAAAAAGTCTATATAAAACAGGACTAAAAACTCGAAAATAAGAATGATATAAAGAAAATAATTAATTAGAGTAAAACTGGATAGAAACAGAAAAAAGAAAAACTAGTCGAAAAGAAGAATAAAATACCACATAAGACAAAAAAAAAAGGAAAAGGAATGTAAATGAGTGAAAATAAAAATAAAGTTTAGAAAAAATATAGAAATATAAATAAGAATAAAAATCTAAAGAAAAAAGGAACATATAAAGTGGTAAGAAAATGAAAAGAATAAAATTTCAAAAGAATATCAAAAGGAAAAGCAAAAAAAAAAAAGGCGAAAAGGAAAAAAGATCACGTAATAAAGGAAAGAAAAAATATAAAAAAAATTAAAAATAAAAATAGCACATAGAAAAGAAAAGAAAAGAAAAGAAAAAGAAAAGAAAAAGAAAAGAAAAGGAAAACTAACATACCAGAACTCCGGACGTCGGAACTGGCAAGGTGTTTTATGTGATCACAGCGTGGACCGAGAGCTCATGGGCCGTCAGCGTGCTTGAACGCTGCAGCGAAGGCGCCGCTTGTACTTCATGGCCGACCGATCGGTAGCCATGATTCCCGCAAATTTTTAAAGACGAATAAATCTCGCGTCCCCATCGTGCCACGTCTCCACTCTTCACCCGCCACGCGTCCTCCTGTGTTAGTTGATCTCCACTAATAGGCCCAATGTGACCTATTGGGCCCTTATCTCGGCTCCTGATCGGGGAGCCCAACCCTAATCCGGTTGGGGGCCCTCGTCGCAGACAGACACATAAAAAGGAAGGTGGGGATCGAGCTCAAAGAACGAGGTTCATTGGAGCCGCCACACCCACCTACTGTAAACCCTAATCCGATCCTAAAGCGTCTTTGCCAGCCGACGGGATGTGCTCGCCACCACCATCGCCGCTGTCTGCTGAGGTCACCGCCGCCGCCATCGGACTTCTCTCCACCGCTACCGGACTACTCCTACTACACCGCTGCATCAAGCGCTCTACGTTCTTTGTGCCGCAAGGAGAAACGTAAAGGAGCTTACCCAATCCTACGGTTACAGAGAGGTACACACACATAGATTCTAACAATGGTATCGAGCCAAAGTTACTAAGTGTAAACCTAACCCTAATCGGGTAAAAGTAAAAGAAAGAGAGACCGGCTCATGGTGTACGGTTATCACCGCCACCGCGAAAGTGGGGGAAAGGAGCCGCACTGCTCAAGGCGCACACAAAAGTAAAGGAGAAAGTACAGATCCGCGTTCGGATCAAAGAAGCAAGAAAGAAAGAGGATTAGGATCTCAAGAACCCTAACCCTAGAACGAATCCCCATCACTAATCGGTTCAATCCGAGAAGAAAGAAAGGAAAAGCAGAAAAAGAAAGGGGAAAAGAACAGGTCGGCATACGAACCCTAAACCTAACCTAGACGGATCCTCATCCCTAACCGGTTGAATCCGAGAAGAAACAAAAGAAATCAAAGAAAAGAAAAGAAAGGAATCAAAGAAACCCTAACCCTAATCCCTCCTTCGGTTCGGTTCGGATAAGAGGAAAGAAAGATCCAAATCGAAAAGAAGGGGTGGGAAAGGAGTAAGGGAAGGGAACGGATCCACCCTCGCCGTAGCTGGAAAAGAAAAAGCCGGGGCGTCCCTTCGCCTGCTGGAGAAGAAGTGCCGAAAGCGGGGGCGCTTGCTCACCGGGCTCTCGGTCAAAGGGGCGCCATGTTAAAGCACTTTCGGCGGCGGGCGTGCTCACCGTCGGGGCAGCAGCAGCCGGGCGAGGGGGCCGGCAGCGGCCGTGGCTTTCACTGCTCACTCCCGCTTCGGTGTCGTCTCTCGGTGGTCATGCAATGCTACCGAGAAAGAGAGAAGAGAGAGCGGCGAGCGTGGAGAGAGAAAGGGGGGAGTCAAATGAGGCTAGGGTTTCAGGAGGATGAACGCGTCGCGGTTTTGATGCGCGCGACATCATCGGCCAGCCGTCCGATGAAGATCAACGGCTGGCAGTGGCCAGGCCAAAAGCGGCCCAGACGGGGCGGTGTTTTCCCGGCCCAGGCCCAGGTTGCGGCCTGGGCACGGAGGCGACGTCGCGCGTGGCTGGGCCGTGCCACTGGGTTGTCCATGTTGGTCACCATCGCGGAGGCATGCAAGCGGGCGCGGGGGAGAGCGTGGGAAGCGCTCACGCGGGCGTGGGCCGTGGGCCGCCTTGCCATTTTGGGCCGACACAGGAAAAGCAAGAGCCAGTTTTCGGTTTTTTCTTTTCTTTTTTTTTCTAGAAAATTGAAAATGTACACTGGCTCAAAAGAAAATAGAAAAAGTAATTAAAATGAAAGTTTTTCCAGTAAATGTTTATTTCCTGGAAATTGATTAATGGCTTAAATAAAATAGAAAAGAGAATTTCCCTGTCGGTAAAATTCAAGAAATTGAATTATTTTTCCGCTGCTAAAGAGAATTTGTTTATTCTCCAGTTAATTTGTACCAACGTGGTATTTAATTGGAGAAAAAGAAAGTTATTCCGCTGCTAAAGAAAATGTTGATTCTCCAATTATTTTGAACCAATGTGGTATTTAATTGGAGAAAAAGAGTTTTGACATGATTATGATGTTGTTATTTTCTGACCAACGTTGTTAATAACAATATCGTAATGCTAATGATTTATGCATTAATTCTACTTCTGCCCAACGGTGATGTAGAATTAGTGTATAAGAAAAGTTGATAATTTTAATGATTTATGCATTGATTCTACTTCTGCCCAACGGTGATGTAGAATTAGTGTGTAAGAACAGTTGTCAAAGTTAAAGATTTATGCATTAATTCTATTTCTGCCCAACGGTGATGTAGAATTAGTGTATAAGAATAATTGTATGTTTTGTTTTTGACCAACGTTGGAATCAAGGCATGCAAATGATGTG